AATTACATATTAATATCAATCTATTTGTGTTAGTATTAGTAAATGGTTTGTGAGTATATTTAATACTTGTAATATCATTGTATCCCAAATCCATATCACTGTCTTCGCACTCATTTAAACCTAAAATATTAGATAATTATTTAAAAATTCAATTCATTAAACAGATTATGTGTATATTTCTTACTACTTCTTCTACTCTTACACTTAAAGCAATTAACACTAAAAGACATGCATTTGAATGAACAAAAACAATTCATTATATGTATTCTTGTCGTAAACACATTTAAAGTACTAATTAATATATTATAAACGAAAATATCAAATGTTTTAAATATTACATCAACTGTTTGTTCAGTTGAAAAAACAATTATCAAACAATTAATTAAGAAAATTGTTATATAAAGCAAACAATACAACAACAGGTGGATTACCATTGAGTTTGTGATTAATGCCAATCCCTTGAGCGCAGACATCGAAATATGTTTGCAATGTTTCGACCTATCGTTCAATTAATCAATTCATTAATTGTTCACAAAAAACAAACAACAAAAACGTATTGTTTTGAATGTAAGACCTGTTGGCATAATATATCTCTGAATGTCTCGATTTCGTTCAACTTCTCCTTCAATCCTCTGTTACTCTTAATAGACGTCATACTAACAGAGCCTAAAGAGACGGCTGATCCGTGTCGGCGAAGACTGCCATCGCTTCCATAGGCGCTATCGTTGTATTGCTTTATGAATCAATAGATAAACAAATAGATTAATAAGTGTATCACTAAATGGGATGAGATATGAGACAAACCCTATGGGTTTCGATGGCGTCGACCCATTGGTTGCGTTCATCGATGGATTGGGCCCTCAAATACCAGACACAGTCGGAAACGCCGACATCGAAGCGACAGTCATCGAACTCATGCAACTGATCCCAAGAGTGATGGCAAAGAGTGAGCAACAGAGACAACAACCACAACACGAGTGCATACCTTGATCTGTGCCTTAACTATAGTGACGGCTCCTCTGCAGCCGAAAGCCGTCTCTTCGGCCGACTTGTAATAAGTGAGAGTTCCGTCTTTGAGGACAATAAACCTCTGTTGCCATCCGTGGATATAATTCGTCCATTTGGAGAGAACGCCCTCAAAGGGGGGCACCGACTGGTGGTCGGAGGCGGTGGTCGTGGATGTGGTGGTTGTGTCCCGCAGTTGATCGCAGTCTTCCTCGTCGGTCAAACTCATCACTGTTTGAGACATTTTTCGCATTCAAAACACAGACATCTTTACCCCTAATCGTCAAAACACCCAAAGCTTTGGCTCCCAATGCGAGAGCATTCCCAGTGTTGGCGCGTCTGTTGTCATCGCAACGCATGATATCCAACGCCGACACGTATTGGCAATTCTGCCCACTCTTTAGGGCGTATGCCTTATGACAGGGAGTTTTGGCTCCCATTCACTGACACACGTCTCACACGTCATATAAACAACACTTGACGTCATTTACGAGTCATTCATGAATTGCAGTGAACTGTAAGTGAAGTACAAATCGATTACAAAAAAATTGTTTTTTAACTTTTGATAACAAAGTCATGAATTGATTACTAATTATCGCAAACTTTATAAACATTTGCAATGAATTGATGTATAGTTTGATTGAGTGATTGGCTCTCAAATGACACCCCTTTCCCACTATTGAACACACTTTTGGCCACACATTACACACAATTCATTGTGTAATTAAGTTATTAATATAAAACTAGCTTTAAAAATGTGCATGCTCAGTTACATAGTCATCTAGTTGATTTTATAAAAGCAACTAGAATTTTAAATAAAATGATGGTCATATAATTTGTTGCAATTAAAAGTTAACATAGATTTTTGATACACTTATTCGTTTGCAGAATAATATTCTTACAGAATATTCTTATGACTTGTATTTAAGGGGTATTTAAATAATTACTAAATTAAGTGCCGCATGATCATTTGTGCTAAATGTAGCATGGTTATATTTAGAATAATTTGTATAAATGATTTAGTTGTTTTAATTTTACAAAAATATATAATTCTTATATATTTTTAAATAAAATATCAATTATTGGGTATATTATTGAATATTGAATACTCTTTAAAACTTAAATAATGTTAAAGTAATTGATATTTTTAAGTCTTAAAATACGTAAAAAGTTAAATGGCGTCAAATAATTAGTTGTGATTTGAATACAAACTAAAGTTAATGTGAATATATTATAAGAGGAAATGACTTTGACATTCAATTCAGTGCAAAACGTATAAACTTTGAAATTATATATAATTACCGGTAATTATTGAATGCATTAGAGAATAATCTAAATTTTTGGTTGTTTTGTAGTTCATTAGTGAAAGAAATGCAAATATGTTTTTCTTAAATTACTTTTATTTCATAGGAATTTATTTGAGAAAACTTATGAAATCAACGAAAACTGACATTTATTGACCAA